TGGTATCCATTTAATGTCGACTTTCTTTTTGTGAAGCTGTTCATTTATGTAATAGTACTCCCTTTCCGCATGTCTTGTTCTCTTGTTAGCCGCATTATCTTTTGAAACATGTACTGACGATGAATTATCACATAAAAGTAATGGTGGTGGTAAATCAGGTAACATGTCCGTTGCTAATGAGTGTAACCAAACTGAATCCCTACATGCCGCTCCTATCGCCATAAACTCCGCATGACAAGTTGAAGTAGCTACACACGCCTGCCTTCTCGCCACCCACGCTACCGGTACCCCAAACAATCTCGTCACATGCCCATAAGATGATCTAGCAAATTCCCCGCCCCAGTTAGCATCCACAAAAGTCTCCATCGGTGCTGAGTACTTCGTCTTTCGAGGATTGATTAAAATACCCATGCTTGCTGTCTTCCTTAAATATCGTAAAAGATGTTTTAACGCGTTCCAGTGAGCTTCTTGAGGCGTCTTGCCATACCGCGCAAGGAAATTCACCGAGTAAGACAGGTCTGGTCGAGTTCCTACTGCAAGATAGCTTAGTGAGCCGATTATCGAAAGATATCTCCCCCCATCAACTGGAGGAACATTCACAGAGGTTTCTAATCGGGTTGACACACTCAGGGGGTTTTCAGCACTTAGGACAGATAGTAGATCAGCATTGTCTTTGAGTATACGGTTTGCAAGCTTAGGTTGTGACATTTCAAAGCGGTCAGGTGATGGTCGATTGATTTCAACACCCACAATTGAATCTAAGCTTGTTTCCCACTTGATCTTGATTTCAGCTTTGAGTAAACCCTCAATCTCCATCAGCAATCGTGTGCTACTACCGGTTACAGCACCATCGTCCACATGGAGCCAGATGAGGCAAGTATCGGATCCGCGTCTTAGGATGTAGAAACTAGCATCGAATTGACTAGGTCGAAAACCCATCTTTTCAAGCTTTTTCGCGATAAACTTCCACCAGCACCTCATTCCTTGCTTAGTTCCATACAGAGCTCGGAGACACTTGAGTACTTTCGAGACCGGTCCGTAAGAAAAACCGGCTGGTTGTCTTACCCAAACATCTTCTTCCAGAGGGCTATGAAGGAATGCTGCGGTAACATCAAAACCGAAGGTGTTCCAGCCAAACATTGCTGCAACCGTTACGATTATTCTCAAAGCTGCAAAGGTAGCGGTCGGTGCGAAAGTCTCGTGGTAGTCGACCCCTTCGATTTGAGTAAACCCCCGAGCCACATATCTGGCTTTGTAAGTTCCATCTCTCTTGATATCAAACACCCACTTCGCATCAGTCACCTTACGATCTTTAGGCAAATCACACACTTCCCACACCTGCATCTCTCTCATCTGGTCCATCTCCTTCTCACAGGCCGCTCTCCACTTATCTGCATCACTACGACTCATTGCTTCCTTGTAAGTTTTTGGGATAGTTGGATCACCGTTCTTCAGACTGTTTTCTACAGAAGTTACCAGGGCATCTTGTTGCATGACCGCTTCCTCGGCATCGAAACTTCCAAGTTGTAAAGCGTTCAGGATGTGACTGAGATTACCCTTTGACTGTTCTGGTTCTTTGATTTCCTCAAGTACCGGCTCTTTATCATCAGAGAAAACCGCCATAGACGATTCAACAACCTTCTTAGTTTCAAAGTTGAAAAATTTCCACCCTTTACTGCCCGGTAAGTAACCAATGAAAATACACTTTTGAGCTCGTGGATCCAGTTTACCTCGCCTCTCCAAAGGTATGTGAACAAAAGCTTCTTCTCCAAACGTGCGTAAGCCTTCAAGATGTGGTTTCTTCCCAAAAAGTAATTCGAAAGGTGTTTTATCGCCGGTGTTCACATTCGGGATTCGGTTATGAATAAAGCCAGCAGTTAGGTAGGCGAAACACCAAAAGAACTTTGGTAGTTTTGACGCAATCAGCATGGTTCGACCCATGTCACCAATCGTCCTGATGGAGCGTTCAGCAACACCGTTTTGATTGTGTTCATACGGAAGGGTTTTTTCTTTTGCGATGCCATGAGCTTTGAGCCAGTTAAGAAAAGTTGCTGAGTTAAATTAACCGGCGCCATCAGTTCGTAGTTGCTTGACCTTAAATGATGTCTGACGTTCCATCTTGAGAACAAATTCCTGAAAAACACTTGGTGCGTGATCTCTTGATTTCAAAATCATAATGTCGGTAAAAGTTGTAGCCAGGTCTCTAAAGGTGATCATGTACTTAAAACCAAATAACTCTCCATCAAAAGGACCAGCAATGTCCGAAACAATTAACTCAAGCGGTTGGGGCCGTTCTCTTCCCGACGGACCCATCGTTTGATGTCGGAGGCTCTTGCTAATCAGACAGTCAGGGCATTGAAACGGTGCGTTCACTAAATGCTCGGGAAGTCCTGTCGTCATTTCTTTACTTAGCAGCCTTTTGATCACTCTAAGACCTACATGTCCGAAGCGCTTATGCCATCTCAAAGCTTCATTGCTCTCCTCTTTCGTAAACACTCGGGCACGGCAAGACGAAACATGAGTCTGACAGGCAGGTGGTTTTGGTGGGTTTGTGATGAGAGGAACTAGCCATCGGCGATTCTTGTATTTCGACGTTAATGTATGAGATCCAAAAGACAAAGATAAATCATAGCCGGAAAAAGAAAAAACATATCCATCCTCCACCAGAGCTGCCATGGAAATAAGGGTTCCTTTCGCTCTTTCACAGTAATACACATCCTTGATTTTAATAGATGCACCCGAGTCGCTTTTGAGGATTAACGACCCGATTCCTGTGAGAAAGTTGCCTTCAGATTCTGTTGCAACATGCAGTGGGATTGGGGATCGAAGATGAGTGTAGTTGAGCAAAGCACCCACCTCATTTGTGACATGGTGCGTCGCTCCTGAGTCAAGTACCGCCTCTCCCACGTTCCAATCTTCGGTGACAGATGCCTCGCTACTGTAGACCGAGTGAGGTAGTGGAGATGACGCATCGTAACCGTGAGACGCATCAGCCATGTTCGCTCTGAAGGTACCTCGGGATGACGATTGTTGAGAGAGTTCTTGTCGAGCGAGCTCGGGATCGTAGTTTGGTGACTTGGGGCAGAATGGTGTTTTAGACCAGTGCTCACCACCGCAATCGAAACAGTTCTTCAGATGAGCTGGAGTGTTCGGTCCAACCCTGAAGTTCGACTTTGAAGGGTATGTTTTGCCTGAACTCTGAGTCGGAGTTTGGTAACGTCTTTGAGATGACTGACTTGCATGCGTTTGTACTCTAGATCTTGTGGCATAATTATGTCCTCGATCATTGATGTTTAAAGCGGAGATGTTCGGTAACAGATCTATGGCCGAGTCCGCCAATCGATAAGTCTCGTTACGGATTGCTTCTTCAGTCTCTCGAGATGAGATTGCTGTATCAGGGTTTGTGCGTAATCTGGAGTCTAAGATCGTGTTAACGTTGGCAAATTGTTGAGATAATCCGAGCTGCATAACGATGCTAAGAAAGGAGTCCTTAGTAAAAGTGAAACCGGTGCGTTGTAATTCTTCAACCTTAGCTTTCATCTTCGACAGGTGAGCTGCCACCGCATCTGGTGAATCGACTTTAGATTGAAGTATCTCTTTCCATAAGCTGAGATGAGTAGAACGAGTAGGAAAATGAAATAATGATTTTAGGCGATTGAAAACGGTAAAAGCTGATTCTTTCGGGTCGACTTGTAATCTGAGTGTTTCGCATACTGAGACCCTTATCATCTGAGTTATCACATCATCACCAGTAGTTTGCTTTCTATCTTGATCTAGGTAATCGGGAATCTTGGTTATAAAATCAATTAAAACATACAAGTCATTTTTCCAGTGTAAATAGTTCGATCCATTCTCATCTAGCGTGGCAACAGCCTTGTTAACTAGAGTGGGCATTTTAACAAAGAAGTCCATCGAGGTGTAATGATCGGAAACTTGGTGAGGTGGTGGATCTTTAGACATATCTGAAACAGTAACTTGTGAAATCTGGGTTTTTAAATCTGAATGTTTTGAACTCGAAACTAGAACTGAGCTGTTTTCTAAATCTTCTATCTTGATATCTGAACTTGAATCTTTTAACTTGATATCTGAATCTAAATCTTCTTGCCCTTTGGAGGGTAGCAAGTCAACGTCCTTATCGGAGTCGGAATCGGGATTGGTTTTGTTCTCGGGCACTTGGGTGTCGTCGTTGTTATCTGAGGGTTTCTTTTTAGAACCTGAACTTCTGGTTATCATCGATCGTTCAAAAAATTTTAAGCAGAACCGTTCATCTACAACAAACTACAGCTGGTATCACAACTGGGACTCAAAACCTGTTAAAGCTAAAGGTCAGCGCTCGTCGCTTCACCCGGTCCGAGAACTAATCCAATCTTCGATAGTATTGCAAGAGGTTACTAACCTGTTAAAGCTAAAGGTCAGCGCTCGTCGCTTCACCCGGTCCGAGAACTAATCCAATCTTCGATAGTGAAGAAAGGAAAGAACCGGGTGGAGCGAGGCTATATAAGTGATCTAACCTAACCCCGCTACAAGGATATGCTACTACGTATACAGGATTGTAGTCAAGACCACCCATAACTCAGAATTTTTCTAATGGTGTTTCTCAATCTGTAAAAACCCTACTCTTACAGGAAAAAGTGAAAAGTAGTGCTCAAGCATTATGCATATTTTGATGATCAGATGAGAGATTCTCTGTGACTTTCTGACACTCTCAATCAAGTTGGATGTTTCCTGTAGCTGTAATTGAAATTTTGACTGTTGTTCATTCTTGCATACAATACACAGTCCAATTCGATTCAAATACAAAAGTTTTTTTGAGGCTTGTATTACATTTTTTTCCTCCACAGTGACATAGGTAAAGTTGAGTATATTTGAAATATGGATGTACAAACAAGAGAAGGGAATGTATGTATAACAACCTGTTTGCAGTACAAAGTGTACATCAGTCTCAATCAGAATCCATTCAAGAGGTAAATTACAACATACCCTTGAAGGATTCCTTGAGTTCATCGGTCCAATGAGACCAAGGCAATAGTTTTCAATTTCAATTGGTCGGTTACTTCTTCAGGTTCATAGGTCATCCAACCACAGTGGGCTACAATCTCATCAATGTGGATAAGTGAGGGTGGTCGGGAAATATCAAGACGCAAGTATGTCTGCATATCCGGCTTTGCTAGGGTTCGAAAAGGATTTGGTTGGCTCATGGGAATGGGAGGGAATTCTCGAATTGAGATCCAAGTGTCAGAGATCGGGGGTCCTTCTACCACTGGAATTCTTCGGTGATGGAAAATTGACAGTATCTGACCAAAGGATGTAGTTCCTCCTTGTTGGGTCTGCACTACACTGTTGCCTGGGTTGTCAGATACAGTTGAGTATATTACCCCTTCCCGAGTTATACGAGGTACAAATATTGCGGATGAAGCAACAGGTGAATAAGACGCAGCTCCTTCTTTTGACAAAAGGCACCACTCAGTTGACGGTATCCACCGGCGGTTGTTGACCTTTTGCGAGTTGAGTCGATGGACCAGTTGTTGAAAAACTTCGACTTCGATCGGTGAGCGTCGATCAGGTTGCGGGAAGGTCTGGGCGACAAAGGGTTCTGGATCGATGATACTCAATAGCTGGGATCGATAAGGAAGTATGGCTTCCGGAAGTCTTGCATCTCGCAATAGAGATGAAAGATTCCCGGCTCGGCAAAAGGTTTTGATGAATGTGATCTCCAGCTCGCCTGGAAGCAAAGAGGGAAGTTATTAGTAGCCTGATTCAATAAAAGCGGCCATTCGATAGAGATACTGACCAAGGTGATTATTGTGACACGCCTGTAGGACACGCCCCATCAGACGCTCGAATGGAAAGGACCACCAAGCGCGGACAGGACCGAATTTTTCGAGACAGTCAGCAAGGTGGAATGCCATATGGTGGTTAGGCGCGGGTTTACAATGCGGAAATAGTGCTAATGCTCCTTCCATGTAAGATCGAATATGTGTTCGATAGCGTGAGATGCGTCGTGTTGTCATCGTGCGCTTGAGAGCGAGGTTCACCAAGGAAATCAGGTGAGCGAAGTTTTGCAAGAGAGAAAGATGGCCTTGATCACCATCGCTCCAAATGGGGATGAGAATTAACGGGAGTTGAACAGTGAAAAGATTTCGCCACTCGTCCGCTTTGAGTTTCCCATAACTCTTCTTGCCCAATTTCGGGCAGGGTCGTTCAATCCATGTTGGTAGATGAACTCTAGGGAGTAAAGAGTTTATTTTCTTGAGCATCACGCTATCAAATACGATACAATCTTCATGTGGTTCAACCCAGATACCTGCCCATCCTTGATTCTCGTAATCTGGGTCTGTGGAAGAATTACCTGTACTGCAGGCAAGATTTGCTATACGAACTCGAGGAGCTGATGGGTGTGTTGATGAGGACGGATCATCAGATTCCGAAGGAGGGTTTGAATGCTCGTTGAAATCTTCGTTTGCCAAATCACATAATAAGTCTCGAATTTCGGGGACGGCAGGTGGTCTTGGTTCAGGCTCATCCACCTCGTCGTCTTGCATGGCCCAAAACCTCCGACAGTGCCAGTTTAGTAATCCTAGCAGTAAGTTGTGCATTGAATCGACCACCTGGTAGTCAATTAAATCCCAATATTCGAGTTCGAGTAGGACAGAGTAACGCACACCATGTTTGTCGAAAATCTTCTTGCGCTGTGTAGGATTGTCTGAATTCTTGGAAGCATACGCGTGTTTCTTGTGCTCGGCGAAATTACGACAACGCCAAGAGGTTTGATCAATATTCTCAATCTCGGAAAGGGGAAGGCCGCAGAAGGAACAGAAATTTGTTGAAGTCACACTGGCTAGGCCAAGTGTGCGACGGATAGCCGGAAGATCCGCAATGAAGAGCAAAAGCGCGGCACGGATTGAACGACCTTGGGGATGCAACGGGGTTTGGGATAGAAAAAGACCGTTAGACCAGAGGCTTTTTAGCTGCATGACGACTGGCGATAGGATCCAGTTAGACTGTTCGAGAGATGGTTCGTTGGGACCCGGGGCGATTCCAACAATAAAGATGTTTTCAGGCAAATAACGATGTTCGAAAGGAAGCGTCAAGCAGACAAGTACGACGAATGTGATTGAAACTTTTCGACCACTCTGTTTGTTTCCATACGGGTTGATGCCGTCAACAAACATAGCAAATGCCAGATTTCCACTCTTGGAAGTGAATTGAGACCCGTCGGGACCTTTGAAATTCTTCCACGCGAACGATTGATGGATATCTTTAATCTCATTTTCAGGTGAATACGGTTGATTAGATTCCTTGAGAGATCTATCAAGCATCTCCTCAATGTTTGGCCGACAGATAAACCGCGCGATCCAAGCCTCGAGGTCCTGGAATCCCGTTTGACGGATGGGCCGATGCTTCTTGAAGAGCGGTTGAGAACAACTTGTACTGTTTGGGGCCATGTGAGCATCGGATGTTTCAAGGGACGGCGGAAGAAATGCGAATTTAAATAATCCAGGTACCGTGTTTATTGGAAAGTTGCAGACTTCAGGTGCGTGATCAACTGGAAACATAGCGAAGCAAGATGGACATGTGTTGAGAACCGTGAGACGAGGGTTGAGATTAAGCTTCGAAAAAACCGTGTGAATATTAGATGGAATCTCTTCTAGTTCCTTCTGTTCGGTGTACAATAAATCCGTGCGAGCTTGGGCAGGTGTAGAGCCAGACTCTTTGATCAATTTTACAAAGCCGCGTTGAGACTTCAGCGCCCAATTAGTGGTGCGTACGGATAAATTGGAAAAGAGCGCAAGAGACGCAGTGAAAAGAATAGGATACAGTAAAACTGGATCGATGCTGTACATTTCGTCTTCCAAGTACGGCGCTGAAAAAGGATAAGAGTCTCAGTCAGTGGGATGTGATGATCATGGTCTTTGCAAATTCATAGAGAAAATTTACGTACATGTATCAAATGCATCCTTTTGTGAATTCTGAGTTGGATTGGCATGAAAAGGGCGGTTACTAGGGCCAGCTTCGGCGCTGAAGCCATTGGAAGTGGCTCGGGTGGACGATTCGGGTACATCGCGCGGCTGAGAGAACGCGCGGTCTGCAGAAGGTCGCAAGGGACGATGGGCAAGTTCATCGACTGGTATGTGACCCAGCATACGCGCGGGCTGGTTTTCGGACGTCATAGACAGGTTCTGAAGCTGGTCTGCGAGTTGATGAGCCTTGACTCCTGTGTGATTGATTCGATTGCCGGTCTGATGGTTTCCATCGGCGTCAATATATTGCTGCTGTCCACAACCATAGGTGACGCATCGGCAAACAGCGAGCCGATAAGCCGAACGTGGCGGCATTCTGATGTTGATGTGATTTGAACCTTGTTCAAAGGTAAGGCGTAGACAGCACGAAAATTAAATAAATAAATAGTGGCTTAGAAGTATGAGGGCCAGAAAAAGAAGAATTCCTTGATCGAAACGAAGGGCGAAGGTGATAACTGAATCCAGTGGGCTAATGGTGATTTTATCCTGTGACGAAATTGTGAAGAGCCTGTTGGCATATAGCGTATACGGACTACTGCAGTGCAGCTCAAGTTACCGTTGAAGAGGTTGGACAATCTATCGCAATCTATATAACCAAAAAAACGGATATCCGATCAGCGTGCAGATCGGAGGTCCAAAAGTCGAGGGAAACGGCAGATGTTACGATGAATACCAAAGGGATCCAGAGCAAAGGCACTTCCGAGATTTAAGGAATACAAGTCGGCCCAAACTCTTCCATCTTTTGGAAGTACTTCAACTCGAAGGCGGTTTGAAAGCGGTTACTTCCAAAAATCAGATCGTGCGAGCGGGGTTTATTTGAATGGTACTCAGGTATGTACGAGTAAAACTTGATAGATTTACACCCTTCGTGAAGTGGGTTGGTGCACTGATTACATACAACCCCTTTCAATACCTGATTTGTACTGCATTCGAGCGGTTTGATCTAAAGGTCAACGTAGCTGGACATCCATCGATTCCTTACTCGCGCCGGATCCCGCTGCAGCAAAATTTATACTGGTCAGTGATTTCTCCATTTCTCATATTTCAAAAGCTTCAAGTTGCAACCTTTGTCTACATACCATGTAGCAATGGTATTTCCACCTATACTAGGCTACGTAACTAGCGGAATCTTACCCGGGTTTGAAGCCATTGCGTGTCATGATCGAAAGCCAGATCCGAATGCAATCCCCGGAGGCGGCTCGACTTCTCTGAACGTGAAAGCAACTTCGATAATCTACTTCAAAACCAATCTGGAAATCGGGTACTTTCACAAGATACCTGACTATATTGCTCAACATGTACGAAGACACGGATTTCTAAACAGTCACGAGATCGAGCATCTTATCGACTCTATGGTGTATTTGGAAGAAAAAACTGACGACGTCAGAAAAGATTGTTGCGAAGCTCGAGTCATGCTTGTATACATTCGCACGATGTTGCATTCAGAAGATCCCGAAGTGATTGTTCACCGGGAAATTTTGAAGCGTCAAGAAAAGTTGTCACGAAAACGTTACAAACGTTATAAGCGCAACATACGAGAATATCAAGATGACACCGGGCTTCTATGGGCACTAATAGCTCAGGAAATGTAAGTTAATGAATCAAAAAAATAACAGATTGCGTCTGAATGAGATCCTTCTGACTGACACGATACTTTGTCCACAGTAAACGCACCTGTGATGTCGAAGATGCTGCCGCTGCGAATGGAAGGCAAGCTGATGGCGCCGCGCCGCCCTACACTCATACGCCTTAAGGCACGGGTGGCTTTGTATCTTGATGTAAAGGTTCAATTAGTGGTGTGAATCATAAAGCGTATATAGGAAGTATAGGTGATGTTTACAGGCCATCCGCTGAATCTTGAGACATAGATTAGTCGTTTATCTTAAATTAAAATGTTCCAGTTAGTCTTTGAGAATAATAGCTATTTTCTTTCATTTTGGGAAGCGTGTCTTTTGGAGGACTTTTGATCTATGTAGCTGGGAGGTTTTGTAGCGTGCATAACTGAATACAGTGACAGCCTCACTATACATTGATCAAGTGCCAATTGTCAGTGGAGATGTTGTTCTCACGCGACAGACACGCTCGTCAGATTGGCTTCTAGCCGTGGATCACACATCTAGCGTCTTGGAATCTAATATTGTTATTGACTTGTAACATTCACAAAAGGGAAGATAACAACAAACGGTAAGAGACCAGTCATCCAAAGACACGAGATGACAACAAACGGTAAGAGACCAGTTTATCCAAGGAAATGACATGACAACAAATGGTAAGAGATCGGGTCTATACAACATATTTGGGGCAGTAATCTAAATATCTCGAATTCTTCTTTCGTCCTAGATGGAGAGTTGACCCGAGTATGTACAACATGCATCCGACGTAGTGTTTGATGCCGGATCGGATGAACTATGATCGCTAAAGGAATCGATAAAGGAATCGATATGCGGGAGTCTCAATACGAAAGAACAAATCATGATCACTGACGAGGAAGCTTGGAGTCGATACGTACGAGTGGTTTAAAATGAGCGGTCCCCTCATTGATGGGATGGGGTCGATGTTTCACCCGGCAAGTCCACTTCAACTGGGGTATAAGTTTGTTTTCAGTAACGATTTCTCGAGGTAAGGGCGGATCATGAATGCTTACCGGCTTCAAACACTGGTACTAGCTCTTCATAATACACCAACAGGTTTTCCGAAGGACGCCAGATTGAACAAGCGAGGATGCAGGGGAGCACAAACATCTCGAAACGCTCGAGGATATCTTTTTTGGTGATCTGTGTCGCGGTGTGGCGCTGGGGAAAGAAGATCTGATGTATTTCCTGATGTTCGGATTTTGTAGCAAGGCGGAAATCGTAGTCGCGCTCAATGAACTTATGAAGATGAGGTGGGATCGTGTACTTGAATACGTTGTGGAGCTTGTAAAAGGCAACTGGTTGAGACATGATTTGTGAATGTAAATTATATCTAGGTAGGCTGTTAAATATCACGATAAAAGTGTCTGAATATCTAAGAGGGGTACTGTGGATGAATGAAACTGGTGATTGATCCAGTTGATCGTCCCGGCTTTATAAAGGTGTTGGGGGCATGCCAATTGTGCTCGAACGAAGGGAAATCGAGCTAGCGTTGATGCTCAACGAAAGGTGGGGCCTGTTGCTTGAAGAAAGGGAACGACATGCGACATCCTTACACGCTCGTGCTAAGTGTTTATCCTCAAGAATGGTATTAAGGCGCCGATCCTAACTGTGCTTGAGGAAAGGGAAATGAGTCATGACATCCTTCCAAACTCGGTTTAAGGGTTATTCAACTTCGGTTTATGAAGGGTTAATCTTCAAGAGAAACAAGGGGAGTGTATTCTGACACGCTCGTTCTAAATGCAGCTCTGCAATTGAATGCAAATCCTCGTCCTCAGGACTGCTGAGCCAGAGTCTGTTGAGGTGGTGCGCTGGATTCGTGGGTTCAATCGTGTATAAAAAGGATGGATGAATTGGTAGGGATGATTGGACAGATCAGCGTCACACCTCCCGGTCTTTATTTTTGGAAGATACCATCCAGTCATCTGTCATACGTTGTCATTCTCATTTACCAATTTCATCTACTAGATTCCGCAAGAACCAAGCAGGATGACGAGCCAACCCTCCGGTAGCCAACCTTATAGATCAACAACTGGCAAAGACCACCCTTACATCGCCATCATCAAGAACGTGCCAACACACTTAAATTTCTTGTTAGATCATCCTGACGTTAATTACGATGCTCGGAGCACCAGTCGACCCAAATTGCGTGATATGATGGAACTCTTCGGGTTTAAGATCAACCTTCCAAAAGATGCCGACAAGACCAGAGTCGTCAACAGATACCGAAACGATTTCCTACCTGGTCTTTTGCCGTTTCTTTCTCGATCTGAACGCGCAAACTCGTCTAGCGTACCACTATTATCAATCACTAGCAATCCAGGCCCTACCCTCTCTCAAACCCCTGGGGACCCGGATCTCTCAATGCGGGATTCGGCGGCTATGTATGTGGACCCAAACGCCAAGAGTTCAACCAAAAGCGTCCTTTTCAGTTTGATATCACCACGCGTGAAAGCTCAGTTCATCCTTCCCACGATGAGTCGACCCGATATGGTCAAGCTCTTTCATAAATTTGTTAACAGCGCTTCTCAAAAACCCGCGCCATGTACAAACCCAGAATTTGTCAATCGCCCCCATGCTGAGGTTACCGGAAGCATTAGTGGTAAAGACCGCGACGTGATTCGCCACGCAATTCAGTGTTATGCTCCGCACGTTTTTGTACCACTTGTTGTGTGCAACATGCCTGTCCTCTTGAAACTCTACGAGCTATTTGTACAAGGGAATGAGGACGCAGCAAAAGATTTATGTGAAGGTGTCCATTACCAACTTATCAATCCGAACGAGCTGAAATTGCATGAGCCACAAGATGAAGAAGAGACTTTCTAATGGGTGAGTCGCGCGTTCTTTATTTTGGTTTTATTTTCGCACCC